TTAGTAGAATCATCTTTTTAAAGCATAACATTCCATGTAAACCCAACAAGAACTGCAGCAACGATCTGTAAATCCCTGCTCTGATAGCAAGAGCAGCATTTTTTTTAAATAGAAATCCTTGAAAATGGATTCGGGTGTGTTCAAGATGCAACAGATTGTTCCCTAGGGTGCTTGGAGACTAAGGCACTCCCTCGCTCTAAATGTTTTAGGCAGAGCGCTGTACAGTGAACACGGTTTCTAACTCTTGCGTCTGATATCTTGCAGGAAAATCAAGGATAATCGCTACACTGGCTCACTTCTCTTGCAGCCTCTGGACTTGTTTTGTTTTGCACTGGGACCATGCTGAATCAGAATAGTAAAAAGTAAGTTTGGGAAATGTTGCTGCTTCCTGTTTTTCTCATCTTGATGGCTGCGGTTCTAGTGAAAAGTCTTGTTATTGACACTGGGTTTGATGGGATTAACAGATTAGCTGGATGTTTGACTGTTTTTCTGTAACCTGTATTGGAGTGTGTTGTTTCAGTTCATGCCGTGCCAAAATGTTTTCCTTTTTTTTTTTTTTTTTGGTAATAGCCACCCATAACGGAGCTTTGATGTCTGAATACCTAAGCGGTTATTGTACTTTTTGATGATGATGTGAATAGAAAGATTAATAAAGCATTTTAATATAAAAATGTACTACGTACAGCATTACTAAAAGCAGTTCCACTTTCAACAGGGTCCAAAAGTGAGGTTCTGTTTGCCATTATATATTTGTTTAACATCATGTTTCTTTGTTTTATTAGTATTTAAAAAAAAATTTATTCAGAATTTCCGTGTTTACATTTGTATGTACTGTATGCAAACGTCATTGTTTTCTTAAAGTAAGTACAAAAAAACCCAAGATGCAAAGAGATTTTGTCATTATACACTTCTCATTTGCATTTTAAACTGATAAGAAAACATATTTTTTTATACACTGTAGAAGATTCTATTTCCAAACTCGACCTGTGTAAATCTCAGCTCCATGGGCTCACATTTCCCATGAGTCATCACCAGCCTTCTCTGATCAGAGGAGCCCATGCATGCACAAATAGAACAAGTTTGTGCCCATGCAGATGTCTACTTGACCTTTGCATTATTTAATGCTACGAATGCCGTGTTTTGTCTACTAATAGATGATTTTCAGTGCTTACTTTTCCAGAAAGAATATTAGGATAATATGTCTGCCTTTTTATTCAGAGATGTGGCTTAGCGGTTAACACAAGTGCATGCATTGATGTAGGGGTGTGCGATATCATGATTTCTGATCGTGGAAGATTAAAATGTCTCCACGATCTGCTTTTTTTTATCACAAGAACAATGTGTCATACATTCACATGAAATGTTAACTCAGCGGTAGAGTTACACTCACGGGACACTGCACTTCGCAATAACAAAAGTTCATTATTTGTATGTGCTTTAAAGCCTTTCCGGTGAAATATATCATCCGTGTGCTGTTCTGACATGCGCTTTTTCTGAGCGTGTACACCTGAAGTGCGCACACACTAAAAAAAGCCTGTCAAACAGCGCCTGATTACTGGAATACGCTATCTTTAGTGTTGGATTGAGCTAGTACTGTCAAAAACACAGAAGGTTTGCATATAAACACAGTTGGTTATGTCTAAAGTGAAAGTAAGCAGTTGAGAGAAAAACGGATTCGTATCTGTATATTAGATGCGTGCAAGTCTTAAAGTGACAGCAGAGTAATAGTACTGAACTTGCTGCAGCTTGTCATTAAAGGTTATAGTTCACCCCCCTTTTGTGCTGAACACAAAAGAAGATATTTTAAAGAATGTGGGTAACCAAACAGTTGCTGGTCCCCATTGACTTTGATAGTAGGAAACAAAAAATGGGACCAGCAATTGTTTGGTTACCCACATTATTCATTCATTCATTCTGTTTTTAAATTAGAGAAAGTAGTTTGGGTTTCAAAAATAGTAAAACCAACATGACAAAGAATAATGATAAAATCATGAATTGCGATTTTCCTAAAAAAAAAATGTGATATGATATTTTTGCCATATCGCCCACTCCTACATTGACGTGTTCTGTTCATGTAGATGATGCAAGTTTGAGGTTTGCAGCATTTAACAATCCGTTGCTTCATTATTTCCTCTGCTGTAGTCATGATACTGTAAATTAAAATGGCGAAAGGCCAAGCAATTGTTTACAAATTGTGTACAAATTTTATGTATATATTTGAGTGTGTGTGTGTGTGTCTCTCTCTCTCTCTATATATGTATATATAAAAAATGCGTCAATACTTATATATATAATTATAGAAATATAGATATATGTAACTAACATTAGTTATGTAATTCATAAAATTTTGTATTAAAATATTATAAACCGTCTTTATCATTTTCTGTTATGAAGCACGTTTTTTTCCATTCCTGTTGCCCTCATCGGTAATTCTCAAAATGCATAAAGCAAGTTTCCTTGTCATTTTGGTCGATATTTGGAGCAAATATGTTCGCCTCAGGTCATGTGTGAATTCGCTGACACCACTGGCAGAGTCACTAGAGGGACGTTACATGAGTTTTATTATCAGCCTGCAGTCTGCAGTGTGTCTTTCATCAATCGTTTAAACGCACTCAGAACCTGAGAAGCACTGGCTTGATTTGATCTATTACATGTCAGGAAAAATGAACAGATGAACTGTGGTATGCAGGACCTCAGGAGGGTAATATGGTCATCGTCCTGTGGTATTTGACTGAGAAGAGTTTTTATAGCCTTTGACTTACCCTGTGCATTCTTATGAAACTAGTGGAATTTCAGAAAAATATCTGTATTTCTTGTCTTCTTTTAAATCCTATTCTGACTGTCATGGACCAGGATTACGAAATGGGCCTGTAACTTTCTTGAGACTTTCCCAGGGAGTTTTTATGTTACACAAGTTCATAACTCATAATTTGATCTGCTAGCTTTAATTTCTGTTAGCAGCAGTGTGCCTGTGTAATTCCATCATCTGTTACCTCAACTCAATATCTAAGGGCTCATACGAAAATCAATTTGGTTGCACATTTTTTTTCTCCTTTCTGGGTTGTACTGTATAGTAATTTGCAGGACTGGCAGGATGAGATTTGTGGATGCTATAACTTCAGTGACTTACAGCATGAGGGTGTCGCAATAATAGATAAAGCCCTGCAACTCTCAAGAGTGCACACTGTAAAAAAAAAATCTGTGACATATACGGTAAAATACCGGCAGCTGTGGTTGCCAGAACTTCACCGTAAAAAATATGGTAGCAACATTTTAGGTTTTACAGACTTAACTTAGATTTACAATAAAATACCGTATTTCATTAACTGATGTAATATTAATAAACCAACATATTGAAGTACTAATATCTGTTTTGAACCATTGTAATGCACTGATAACCACCAAAAACTGGTGGTGATGAGAAAGTCACACACTCAAAAAAATAATTCATTGGATGAACTCAATTTAATTGAGGGCAGGATTTCCATCCAATAAATATATGTAGCCCCAACTCATAAAAAACTAATTCATGCGATGAAATGTAATTGAGTTGAGCCAACTCAATATGATCGAATATAGTTTAAATGAAATTGATACACTGATAAAGTGATTTTTTTTATGCTTGTTGAACTCAAACTAAAACATTTAACTGGAAAATCAATTATTTGGCAGATATCCTTCTACACTCAAAAAAAGAATACATAAAGAGCAATCCTGATCCTGATTTATGCAGTAGTAAATACAAAATATATTAATACTATATCAGTTATCAGTCTGTATTATTTATTTATTTGGCATAATATCAATGAATATTCATATGTAATATTCTGATCATTATCCTTATTTTTACATTTATATTATCTTGGCCATCATTTATCGCTCATTAGAATAATTTAATAACATTGTTAAGTGCAGTCGTAAATCTCAGAATGGATATCCATTTTTCATACTGTTCATTAAAAAAAGTTGTGATGCCTAAATTTCTTTGTGCCATTCAAAATAATTTTAGTTTTTAGTAATTTATTTTTCTATTTTGTATTTTATTATATACCAAGTATATATATATATATTTTTTCATACCTCAGTTATGTTTCATAGCTTTGTCTCAGCTGTGTCCTAATATTTCTTAGGAGAAATAAATATAGACAATAATGGGACATTTGTAGAAGTATTGTAAGCTACAAAATTAACGTTGAAGGTACAGCTCAGACGAGTTAATTTTTTAAAGAAGTTAAAGTGGTATATTGAAGTTCATGTTGAAATGAACATTTGATTGCACATTTTGATATCTTAGCAATTTAGAGCACAGTTTTAGACATTGTTGAGATACTGTATCTAAAACTTCAGAGACGAGAGATTTTTCTCAGGAAACCCTAACAGCACACTTCATTTGCTCCATTTGCTCTTTCCTAATCACATCATTGTCTAGGAGGAGCAATTAAGAAATTAGCAACATTTTATTTTCTAAAGGAACATGGAGAAGACAAGTCACACTTCCTGTAAACACTTCCTTCTCACCTTTTACTTTGTGTGTGTGTGTGTGTGTGTGTGTGTGTATGAGTGTTACTTCCTTTTTATTTTTGTGACAGTACTAGTCATCTCAACACATCATTCAAACAGTCCCATCCGAATGAAGGTCAACCACCTGGAGGGCAAACTTTGTTTACCACTTCCTATGTAAGACACACCTCACTTCCAATTAGGCAAAGCTGCTTTTTGATGCCTCATTACAACTTTGTGGAATCATTTCCAGGCCACCACCCCTTTGATCTTCGTCAGATATGTCATGACGGTGCCTGGAAGTTTCGGCTTTTGTATGCATTGCAGCAGAACCGCTGACTAGTCAGGCGATGAGAAGTCAGCAGCTCGTGCTGTGCTCACAGCAGGACGCCAGCGTATTCCGATAGTTCCGGTTCACATCGCATCTCACTTCTAATAAACTACAAATGCCTGTTTGAGTCTGATGCATGTGTTCCTCTCTTCCTGTTTCGCTCCAGTAGATCCCATCTGATGCCGAGGCTGAAGGAATCGCGGTCTCACGAGTCGTTGCTCAGCCCCAGCAGTGCAGTAGAAGCTCTAGATCTCAGTATGGAGGAAGAAGTGCTCATCAAACCTGTGCACAGCAGCATCTTGGGACAGGATTTCTGTTTTGAGGTGAGTCGGCTGACCTCAGTGCCCTGTTGAAGTCACAGCTCTGAATTAATTGCCAAAAGAACTTTTAATGTCCGACAAGTCTCAAAATAGCACGCAGCAAAGGCCCATTAAAACTTCATCAAGGCCATTAGCCAAGATCAAATAGTTTGCAGAAAATAGCAGCGCTATCTAGTCGTTCTGCAGTTAAGTCATTGAGGGGCCACGGGTCATGTTACTGGATGATTTGCATGTGTGCTGCAGAGAAGGCTCACTTAAAACAGATGCTTGTATAATTACAAGGTCAGAGGGTGCAGACAAAGTAAACTGTGATCAGGCATCGGCATGAAGGTTTCCTTAAAGAAATAGTTATTCACCTAAAAAAATTATAAATATATATATATACTACTGGTAAAAAAAAAAGGGATCAGTAAGACTTGTAATGTTTTTTAAAGAAGTCTCTTATGCTCATCAAGGCTGCATTTATTTGATCAAAAATACAGAATAAAACAGTAATCTTGAACAATGTTATTACAATATAAAATAATGGTTTCTATATTAATATCTTTTCAAATAAAATTTATTTCTGTGATGCAAAACTGAATTTCCATCAAACAGTAATCTTGAAAAATGTTATTACAATATAAAATAATGGTTTCTATATTAATATCCTTTCAAATAAAATTTATTTCTGTGATGCAAAACTGAATTTCCATCAGCCATTACTCCAGTATAAAGTGTCACATGATCCTTCAGAAATCATTCTAACATGCTGATTTATTATTAGAATTATCAATGTTGGCAACAGTTGTGCTGCCAAATATTTTTTTGGAAACTGTGATACTTTTTTCAGGATTCTTTGATGAATAACAAGTTAAAAAGAACAGCATTTATTCAAAATATAAATATTTTCTAACATTATAAATCTTAGCTCTTCACTTCTTAACAATTTAACACATCCTCGCTGAATACTTAATTTCTTTCAAAAAAAGAAAGAATAAAAATTTACTGACCCCCAAACTTTTGAACGTAGTGTATATTGTTAGAAAATATTTCTATTTTAAATAAATGCTCTTCTTTTTAACTTTTTATTAATCAAAGAATCCTGAAAAAATGTATCACAGGTTCCAAAAAAGTATTAAGCAGCGCAACAGTTTCAACACTGATAATAAATCTGCATATTAGAATGATTTCTGAAGGATCATGTGACATTTTATATTGGAGTAATGATGCAGAAACTTCAGCTTTGCATCACAGGAATAAATTTGATATTAATTGATATTAAAATAGATAAACGTTATTTTACATCATAATAATATTTCACAATATTACGTTTTGTCCTGTATTTTTGATCAAATAAATACAGCCTTGATGAGCATAAGAAACTCCTGTAAAAAACATTAAAAATCGTTCTGATCCCAAACTTTTGACCAATAGTGTGTGTGTGTGTGTATATATATATATATATATATATATATATATATACTGTATATATTTATTTATTTAATTTTTTTTTAGGTGAACAACTATTCCTTTAAGGAAACCTGCATGCCAATATACATATATATAAATTACACAATTGATTTATTTTATTTATAGTGTACCGTACTTCTAAACCTTTCTTACTTCTGTGGAAAAGGGATTTTAAAGGACGTTCATGCTGCTTCGTGCCTGTCAAACTCCAAAAAGCACAAAAATACCATTTAAAAGCAGTGCTGGAAAGCTACTTTGAAACTTTAGCTTGCCAAGCAGCAAGCTAAGCATAATTTGAAGTTGTTAAACTACAGTCATGCTGCTGTTTTAGATTACATTTAATTAACTACCGTACATTAAAATTGCTTACAGGGGAATGTTTTTGCATTTAAAAATATAATAATATAATTTATTTAGAGCTGTATCTTTGTTCGCACTAAAACAGTGATTTTAGAAAAGGGTTTTTGAATTAATCTCAGATAGGTAGTATGATACTTAAATCAGGCATCTGCATGCAGATCTTAATACCAGAAGGGCCTTCCTGTCTCTTTGCATTTCCTGCCCAGAGGGTACAAAAGAGCCTGTCCCATCTGTCTGAACATCTCCTCTCATTCTCTCTGTGCTCTGTGAGGTGAGTTCTGAGAGGCCAATTCACATGGAGTTGATGACTGTTACACTGCAGCAGACGCCAGCTGGAAAGAATGAGACACCTACAGTTAGTAGGAGTTCTGCAGGGGTCAGCCAGAGGTCCATTATGCTCTGTTTGCTCTATTTATTCCATCATTTATCATGTGAACTAGAATTATAACATTCAGAATTACATGGAAATTGAATTGCATTTAGTAGGGTACACTAAATTTCTGAGGTGGAAGGATAAACTGACTTTTTAAAATAAGCCTAATTTACATAAAATTTAACATACAATTTTGAGATTAAAAATAATGTTTTGTCATTACATTGTAAATGTTTACAATTGCTTATTTTAAATATTTTAAATATAATGTAGCGGTCGCAGTGATTTTACTAAGTAAGACATGTTCCTGGATCAACATCTTTTGTTGATCCTGGATCAACATTACTGTCCAAAAATATAGACTAAACCCAATCCCAATCCCTACCCCTAAACCTAACTTTTCCTGAAAAGTTATCTCTCAATTCTGATTGGTTGATTGGAATGATGTTCCAGGATCAACAAGGATGCTGATCCAGAAACATGTTGTACTTTGTCAAATCACGCTCACCGTAGCTATTATTTAATTTTGTTCATTCTTAGTTTTATTTTAAATTTGATTACATTTTGCACTCTACTTATTTAAAATATCTATATTTCAAATGATATTTAAATTTAAATATTTTACAATTATTTATTTTTGTTTAATATTTGTTACTTATTTTAAATATTTATTTCAGTTTAAATATAATCTATTATATTTAAATTATTTAAAGGCAGGGTAGTTGATTTGGTTCAAAAAAATTTTTTGTTATGCTGGTCTCTTCACATTTCGAAAGCGCTCATTAAGTTAAGTTGTCTAAATTTATTTCTATGTATTTATATAGTTTGTGGAAGGCACAGGACCATAAAATGTTCGTCCAATCAAAATGTTCGGTCCGAACATTACGATAGGCTGTCCTGCCTGCCTGTCAAAATATGTACAGTATTTGCATACCTCTGCGCACCCTATATGCGCAGACATGATACGTCATCAGTGTGTTCCAGTGAGAGTGAAAGGCGTTATTATTATTAATATTCATATATAATTATTAATATTATGTGCTTTGTACTGTAATGTTTTCTCACCGGTGATGGAGACATGAGGTAATCTGACAGCGTTGCATTCAATCCTCCACCAACGCCATCTCTCATCGTATCGCGGATTAGTCTCTGCTCTGTCTGAGCGCGTTCGTGTGTTTTGTGCGAGGTGTAGCTTGGCATCGTGATTATGCAGGGAGGGTGGGGATCTTGCTTTCAAAGCTAACTTGCTATTGCTAGCCTTTCCGAAATCGCCTACCATACCTTTAAATATAAATAATTTAAATGTATTTTATTTGTTATTATATTTCACAATTAATTATTTAAAATATAGTTTACATTCTAATTTAATTGCAATTATTTTTTTATTTAATATTTACTTCTTAATTTTTCTAATTACTTATTTAAATTTTTATTTCAAGTATAATTTAAATACAAAGAAGAAGCAGCGCTACATCAGTGCAGATAATGCCTGGTTAAACTAGATCGGTTTTCAAATTAGAGCTGTTTTTGTTCTGAAACACAGCATGCAAAAATCTCGCAACTGTTTAGTGAATTCAGCCCTACGTGGTCCAGTACATTTGTTGTCACCTGGATTGTGTTGCTGTGAGCAGATGGTCTTTTCAGGATAAATTTTGGATATGAAAAGAACATTTGTAAAAGGCCTATGCATGTATCTCAACTCTCTGATATCACATGTGATCCTGCAAATATGTTAGATCTAAGTGCGCTCTGTCTGATAGGGCTCTTTGAGAGTTTTATTCTTCCTCCAAATGTAATTGCTCTCCACTCCTGGGAAATGCTTCATTGATTGAGTGCTGTAACGTTCAGTGGATCTCTCTGCTCACATCCACCATCTCCCGATCTGCATTTCAGTCCTTTCTAGCTCGCTTAATGCACTTATCCACAAATTTGTTAATTGTAATTTGTAATTGCAGGTAACTACTTCAACAGGAAGCAAATGCTTCTCATGTCGGTCGGCTGCCGAGAGAGACAAATGGATGGAGAATTTGAGACGTGCTGTGCATCCCAACAAGGTAAACTGGACGATTCATCTGAATCCTGGGTAATTCTAGACCAGATGAGGTTTAAGTCAGTCAGCATGTTACTTTTTCATATATCCTGTCTCACATATTGACAGTTTCTGATCGACTTCTCTGCATTAACTCAGCTTAACTTTTTAAAGTACACAGGGGGTTATCTAATTCCTTTCTGCAGTTTGCAGAGGTCACTGTAAAACGCAGTGCTTTCTTTTTTTGTATTCCGCAGGATAACACCCGTCGGGTGGAAAACATGCTGAAATGTTGGATTATCGAAGCTAAGGACTTGCCTGCAAAGAAAAAATACTTCTGTGAACTTTGTCTGGATGACACGTTATACGCACGGACTACCTGCAAACTCAAAACGGACAATGTTTTCTGGGGAGAACACTTTGAGTTCAACAACCTGCCCTCAGTTAAGAGCATCACCGTGCATCTTTACAAAGAAACGGACAAAAAGAAGAAGAAGGACAAAAATAACTATGTGGGCCTGGTCAATATCCCTATAGCGGCAGTCACCGGGCGGCAGTTTGTGGAAAAATGGTATTCCGTGAGCACGCCAAATCCCAATAAAGGAAAGAGTCCGGGACCCATGGTCCGAATGAAATCCCGATATCAGAGCATGAGCATCCTCCCCATGGAGCTGTACAAGGAGTTCGCAGAGTATATTACTAACAATTATATGCTAATGTGCTCGTTGCTGGAGCCAGCACTAAGTGTGAAGAACAAGGAGGAGATGGCTTGTGCACTTGTCCATATCTTACAAAGCACAGGCAAGGCCAAGGTAAGATAATTGCATTGTATGCTGCTATGCCACGTTAAAGTAAACACGAAATCAGAGTTCACCCCATTTTCTTTTCTAATGCACATTCCCGCTCTTGTTGTGCATGATTCATCATTAGAATCATGTGCATGAATATAATGCACATTATTGCAATATAACAGTTTCAGGCTAACGTTGTACAATGTATTTAACAAATATGATACATAAATAATTGTAAATAATCAGATTTTAAAAAATCACACAAAAAGCATACAACAAATCATGCAAGCTTATTTGCAATTAGTGTCATTTTTAAAATAAAGTCAGAATTGTGAGATTAAAGTTGTGATATTACGTTCCTACTATTTTGAGAATAAAGTAAAAATTAGCAGAACAAGTTGTATCAATAGGAGAATAAATTCTTAGCAATATGAGATTAAAGTCGCCCACTGCTTGCCATTTCAGAGTTATTTATTGCTAAATCCTATCTTAAAGTAGATTTAACTAAATCGTCCACACACATTTCTCTCGCATTTCTACTTTATTATTCGTATTGCTTTGACTTTAATGTTGTAATTCTGACTTTATTCTTAAAATATTTCCACTTTATTTTTATTTGATTTATTTATTGTTTTTTAACATGGCACTAAAATGCTGTAATTTCCACAAGTCCCAACTCAGAAATGCATCCCGTTCCATAATGAAAATTGGGTGCAAAGGCCTTTTCATGTTGACTTATAAAAGTAAATGTGTTGCCTGACTGCATTTGTTATATCTAGGAAGATTGTTTAATTATAGACTCTCTCACGGATGCTGTTTGCTGACAACCGAACGAGAGAGTGACATGACGATTTGTACATTGTCAAGATAAAACACTCAACAATCATTGTGCTACTTTGAGTTTCCATGTTACACTCGGAGTTTAGACGTCTTAGTATAAAAAAGCTGACTGTGACATTTATTTTGAAGAGTTTTTTTCTGAAATGAAGCATTTGCCTAGTTGGGCGTTTTGCTGTAAGAAACAGAAAAGGACGTTCTAGGCCTTACTCTAAACCCCATCAAATTGCGAAAAACATCAATGCTAGAGAAGAACAATAGAGACGTGGCCTGCTTCCTCTCATTTAATCACAGGAGTGCTGAGCGCTGTGATTGCCCTCATTAACTTGAGCACAAACGGCTTTAGTCTAAATTATGGCCACGAATTAAGTATTCATTCTTTTGTTTAGGCTTAGCTGCCACGAATTAATTCGTTCGTTAATTCGTTCATTCCCTATAGTAGGCCTAAATCGTGGAACGAATTATTATATTTCGTAATTACTTATTAAAATAATTATTGCTTAAACTTAATAAATAATAATAAATAAAAAAAATAATAAAACCTGCTGACGTCGTAGAAACTAATTGTTAATTCGAATTATATTCGGAGCTCCGTAGTTATTAAATAATCTCAGTTAAACTGTAGACCTAAGCTAACACACAGCTGTATATAGGCCTAAATACAGAACTACAGAGTACAGAAGATATTAGCCAACACCATTTAGGCCTATTAAAATATTATTTAAAAAAAAACTGACCCGAAACAATAGGTAGTCCTTCAGAATGTAGGCTAGATATAGGCAGCAGTAATTTATAATCTAA